CCATCCCAAGTATACACACGGACTTTGGACTCCCAGAGAACAATGTGAGGTGCACTCTCACCCTGAACTCTTGGGGAAGGGTCTGGGCCCTGCCCTATATGAAATGACAGACTATGGACACCCCCATGGAGGGCCTCACCCTCCCTGGGGGAATGAGGGGATAAGGGGGGGGTTGGGGGGAGGGCACGGGAGGAGGGGAGGGAAAGGGAGAGGGACCTGGAATTGACTTGTGAAGCAACCTTGTTTCTTATCTAAATTTAAACTGGAAAATAAAATAAAAATAAAAAATAAAAAAAACAGATCACATACTTCCAACATATAACGGCATAGGATATACATTACTATTCCAAAGTGTAGAGAAGAGAGCATGGTGAGGAAATACTGAACCAAAGCAAGACTGAAAACCAGCTGGGCAAACTCCAAACTCTGCATTTTTATGTCTGATGTCAAAATACTCTCCATATCTTCAACTCCACCCAGCTTTGTTGACTGCAACACACTTCTTTCTCTTGGGCTGGTTCTATCCCGGGTAGCAGCTCTCCTTGGCAGGTATCCACAGGGCTGGCATTTCTAACATCTTGGGTTCTACAAGGCAATCTAAGTTTCACCTTCACAGCTCCACACCATGGCCTCCATTGACACATGCCTGGCCTCAGCGGCTCTCTTCAGGCATGGAGGAAAATTCCATAATCCGGTTTCTTCTGTCCTTAACTCTGAAGCCAGAACCAAGCGGCTGAAGCTGCCAAGTTCTGCTGCTTCCTGGGGATGAAACATGTCCACTTCATTCAATTACATCTTCACCAGCTTTCTGTCCTTCTCTGCTTAAGCTTGACTTTCCTACGACTTGCTCTGTAGACCAAACTAGCCTCAAACTCAGAGATCTGCCTCTGCCTTCCCAGTGCAGGAATCAAAGGTGTGTGCCACCACACCTGCTCTAAGCTATTTCATTCCTTTTCACGAGTTGGAAATTTAGCTGGGTGGGTTCTTGCCCTGAGGTCATCACTCCCTATATTCCAATTCTTAATCTGTGTATCTCCTAGAACACAGGATTAGCCCCCATTCCATTTCCCGGTTCTCTTTCCCCCCACAAATTCACATTTTATAATTTACCCCTGCTCAGCCTGCTCCTTTTCATTATAAATCTTCATTAGGGTTACCACTAATATCCACCTAACAGAGTCTATACTAGGCTATTTTGAGGTTTCCTCTGCCAATGGAATTAATCTAAAATGCTTCACTTTAGCCTCAGGTAGACTCCAGACAAGGGCAAAAAGCAGCTACTTCACCAAAATATCACAAGACCAGTTTCTAGGCCACATACTTTCTTGTCCTCTGAAACCTCTTGATCCCCACAGTCCATCAAATCATATTCAGCACCGCTGTCACCCATGCTCCTACTAGAATGGCCCAATGAGCATTGCTTACGTCATTCCACTGCTTTCCTAACCCAAACTCCCAAAGCCCACGTTACTCCAAACAAAAACATGGTCATGCCCATGACAACAATACCCCAGTCCCTGGTACCAACTTCTGTCTTAGTTAGGGTTTCTATCACTGTGAAAACACACCATGACCACAGCAACTCTTATAAAGGAAGCATTTAATCAGGGCACCTCGCTTACAGTTTCAGAGGTTCAGTCCATTATCATTATGGTAGGGAGCGTGGCTGTGTGCAGGCAGAGGCGGTGCTGGAGCTGAGAGTGTTACACCATGCAGGCAACAGGAAGTTGACTGAGACACTGGGCAGTATCCTGAGCATAGGAAAACTCAAAGCCTGCCCCCACAGTGACACACTTCCTCCAACAAGGCCACAACTACTCCAGCAAAGCCACACCTCCTAATAGTGCCACTCCCTATGAGATTATGGGATCCAATTACATTCAAGCTACTACAACTGAGATGGGGGTAAGAGGGCATAGCTGAAATAATAGGGTTATAAGGACAAATGAGAAGTTGATGCGGGGGGGGGGGGAAGCCCATGAGCTGGAGGAATTTAGGGTAAAGGTCAGGTGAGAAGAGCCAGGATGCCAGCATGGACTCTGAAGTGTGTAACAGGTACTTGAGATAATGAAGGAGCCTGGAGGCCAGCGTGCACAGTATGCTAATGGGCACCACAGATAGCCATGTACCCCTTCTGCTAGAGGGAAGAAAAGGCTCCTTTGGGAGAGGAGAACTGACTTCACAAGTTCCAGAGGAGTGCTGGCTTTTGTTTTGACTCCAGAATTTGGACCTGACACTAGGGAGATGGAGGCAGGAGTACCAGGTCATTCCCGGCTACATAATGAATCTGAGACAGTGTGGACTACATGGGAACTTGTCCAAAGATGCTAAGATGCTAGTTGCGAAATAATCTTCATTTTCCAGAATCCAAAACATCCAATAATTTTCAGATAATTATCATGGGTGTGATGTCCCTCCTATTATTTAGTACTGAGTATTATCTAATATAAAACATGCAAGCTGCTGTGAGGTTTAACTTGTAGAAAACTGATGTGTTGGAGGACCTATAAGACCTAGCCTCAGAAAGTCAGAATGAACTGATGTCCAGGTCAGGAATAGAAAAAGAAAAGACAGGCTGGAGAGATGGCTTAGTGGTTAGGAACACTTCTTCCTCCTGCAGGAGACCAGAGTTGGTTCCCAGCACCCACATCTGGGATCTCACAACCTCCTCTAACTCTGGCCCCAGGGCATCTAATATTTTCTCTTGGCCTCTGAGGGCAGCTGTGTGTACACAAACAAAAATAAAAAAAATCTTTATAAACAAAAAGAAAATGGAAAGGACATATGCCCGGGATGATACTGCCCCTCCCCCATAAAGAGGTCTGTGTCCAGTGCCCCCTGCTTCCTCCCAACCTGTACAAGCCCTGTGACGTACCTGAATCCTCAAGGATGTTTCTGGAGTGTCAGTGACCCCCACTCCCATCTTCTCACCTTCCTTCTCACTGGCTCTTCCCTCCTGCATATTGACTGGCCTTTGGGTGGTGAACAGATGGCCTCAGTCAGGTAACAGGAGGAGGGCAGGACAGAAATTTGTTTTCCGTATTTCATAGTTGAGGGAACTGATGCTCGGCGCTGAGATGTGGCTTGTTTGAGTTGAAGATGGGATCAGACCCATTGGTTTAGCATTGGGTCACATGGTGTTCCTGTGGTTGGGATGGAGGGAGGAGGCGGACAGATGTGACCTACCATTCTGTGCCCCCTGTTCTGACCTTTGGGGACTCAGTCTTTGCAGAGCCATTGTCTTTAATCCCCCAGAACTGTGGAGATGCTGTGCACAGCTTCAGGATTGCTCTCAGAGTCCTGGGTGTTGGCTCAGAAAGGCAACTCTCATTTCAGAAAGAGACAAGCGATGGTTTATTCTGCAGCCAAATGTGAGTGATTGGGGCTTGGAAACACAGGTTTAGGCTGTTCCAAATTCCATATTTCTCTGCGGTAACGATCTATGAGCTTTTGCGGAACAAAGAAAAGTATAAATCAAGATAGTTTTCAAGTCTGTGGCTCAAAACATTGGGCAGGCAGTTTCTAGAAAAGCTGAGAAGTTTCAGCTCTTGTGAGACCAAATGCTGTCTTGCAAGTTAATGGGAGACCAAAACAGGAAAAAGCTATCTTGCAGGTTAAGGTTTCTGTTTGCAGTCAAGACAGTTAAGAGTAAGTTCCTGCTTGTCCTCTGTGAATCCTTGCAAATTAAGGTTTCTATTTGTAATTAAGAATAAGTTCCTATTTCTTAGATCTGATGTAAACTGCAAAACATGTTTTTCAACCTGCACTAACCCTGTGACCCCATTTACAAGATGTATATCCTTACCCTTGTTCCTTTCCTTTAATCGTAGCTTTCTTTCTTTCATTTTTTTTTAAATTGCAGATTTCTAACAATGTATAACAGCCAACACCTTGTCACTTGTATAAAAGGGACCTTAGGATGCTGGCAGGGACTGCTCTCTCAGATCCTGATTTAGGGTGAGACACCCGGCTGGCCAGTCCCAGGTGCATCCCAAGATACTGCTTGCTTCAACTGGACAATGGTATTTGGTCTTCTCTCCTCCTGATTTTCAGGTTTTATGTTCGAGGCCTCAGAAGCTCTTAGCCTGGAGTTAGTGAAATCCAAAAGGCCTCAAGTGTTAGTCACTGAACTTTAGGTTCAATACAGAGGTGAGCAAGAATGGTTATCAGGGACTGAAGATAGTTCAGGATAAATTGAAATTAGGATTTGGACCTGCAACATCCCAACCTCTCCATAGTCATTAAAACTCTGATCAGTTAATTGGCCTCACAGTGGGGTGGGCCAGAAGACGGCCTGGGTCTTTGCAGGGATTTGTGTTCATAAAAGTAACCCTCATCCCTACAGCAGGTTGACTGGCCCTGATGGCGCCCCTCAGAACTGGACCTCTTCCTCTCTGGTGGGCCACCAATTCGAGGCCAGCACAGCTTCAGCAGACTCTTGTGACAGAGCGTGTCCCCGTCCCCCGTCCCCGTCCCCCGTCCCCGTCCCCGTCCGTCCCCGTCCGTCCGTCCGTGTTCCCCCTCCCCCCCCCCCCCCGCCTCCCCCCAGGTCATGTGAGAAAGATGAGCCTTCATTCTCCTTCCCAGGGATCCTCGCCCAGAAGGATGACCGTGTTTCAAACAACAGAGGAAACCCTGAGGATTCCACAGGATTAAAAGAGGGCAGCCTTGCCCTTTCCTCCTAGTGAGACTTTGGGTCCCAAGTCCCCAGCCTCGGTTTCCCAAGTCTGGACTGAGAAAGTGACACTTTTCTGGGCCAAACTCAAGTCTTTCCGAAGGGTGTTCTGGGCCAGCGCGTTTGCCTCTTGCGAGCCCTTCGGGAGCTCATTTGCATTCTTGGAATGAAATGTTGACTGCACTTCAGGTTCAGACACACATTAAAATGCTCCTGAGGGCTGCTGGCTGGCAGGCCCCCCACCTCCCCTGGGAGAGCAATCAGCCCCCTGCCTAGACTGTGGGGAGGACGGCCTGAGCCCTGAGAGGCGCTGACCAATGAGAGCCTCGCCCCAGGGGCTGTCTCAGTTTTATATGTAAATAAATCATTTCCAGAGATTGCCGGGATCCCAGCAGGTTGCTGCTAAAATGTTTGAAGTGGGTCCTTCGCCACTGGGAACACTGGTAAGCATTATTAGCAAGTTTGGATGTTTTTCTCTGCGGATTTCACAGAATAATCTCTAACCTCCCTCCCAGGCTCGGCCTCTCCTCAGCTAAGATACTTGCCTACCTCTGGGAACAGACCGCTTACCGCCTATGGGTTTCCTGTTTTGTGGCTGGGCCCTGGCGATCACCGAGGGCTTCACGGACCTGGGATTCGAACTCTTTCTGCAGCTTCTAAGCTTCTGTGGTCTTAAGAGCACGATCGCTCTCTCTTTCATCTGCGCTTGTTCTGTGCACCTGCACTAGGTTTGCAACCTCTTTTCTAAGGCTTCCTAATCCTCCAGCACCTACCTGGTCCCGCCTGCCCCTCCACCCTCATCCGCTCCCACCCCTGCTTGCTATGCTCTGACCCTAAACGGAAGCATGGGCGGGGCTAAGGTGCCCCTTTCTCCCGGTTCTTTATTGAATGCCCTGGCTCAGGTGACCCTTAGAGAGAGCCCTCCTACACCGCCGCTGTTCTAGGTACCACTGGTCTGAACCCCATCTCTAATCTATCATAAGAACCCCATGCAGTGTCTTTACAGCACATATTGTTGGTCAACCATAATGTGTTACACTAACTCACTGACTTACTTAGGAGTAACTGTGTGATTAGCATGCAGATCTCAGGAGGGGTCTTCCTCTTGTTCCCTGCTGGACTTAGCACACAGTAGATGCTCAATAATATTCCTCCTGATGATATTGCCAAACTTGGGTGTGGTGATTCAAGTGAGAATGGTCTCTATAGGCTCATGTTTTAATGTTTGGTCCCCAGTTAGTGGAACTGTTTGGGAAGAACTGGGAGGTGTGGCCTTGTTAGAGGAAGTGTGTCACTGGGGGGGAGTGGACTTTGAGGTTTCAAAAACCCAACCCAAGCAGGCTTCTCTCTGCCTGCTGCCAGGGGATCAGGATGTAGAGCTCTTAGCTACTGCTCCAGCTATGCCTGTCTGCTTCCCACCATGATGATCATGGACCAACCTCTGAATCTGTAAGCAAGCCCTTAGATAAATACTTTCTATTATAAGAGTTGCCTTGGTCATGGGGTCTCTTCACAGCCATAGAACAGTGACTAAGGCATTGGGGGGTCAGATATTGTACCCCAAGCCAAGTTCAGCTACCTGTGCTCAGTAAGCCAATCAACGACACAAAATTAAAAGTGGAAATCAGAAAAAGGAAATCTATTCAATGTGACCACATTGAGAAGAGACAAAGAGACCCAGTGGCACTCCCCCCAAATCTGCCTTGGGGTTCTGAACTGAGACTGAGGTTTAAACAGAGGACCAAGGTTATGCGCATCTCAGCAATCCTGTCTAGGTATAGCCCCACCCACCACTGACCTCTCATTGTCTGGGCTTGTCTTGTCTCATGAGATGGTCTCATGAATCTTCCAAATGGTGTGAAATCTCTTTCTAGGAGACAACTTTCCCCTCTGGCTGGGGCATTTCCTTCTCGCAGCCCAAGTTTCTTTGAGAAAAATTCCATTTCTTTGGGAATCATTGTTTTAATCATCTGATATTTAAATTGAGGGATACAGGACTCTCTTTAAAATAGCTTCATTTCTGCCAGTGATAATAAGGGACAGGTGAGATAGAAAGGGACACTTTTATATGCTAGGTTGTAAGAGCACATTTATACTTCATACTGTGTCTTATCTATATTTTTTCTATTGCTATGATAAGACATCATGACCAAGCCAACTTATAAAAGAAAGAATTTAGTTGGGTTTATAGTTCTAGAGGTTAGGGTTTGTGATGGCAGCAGAGCAAGGGCACAGAACTAGGCATCTGGAGCAGTAACTGAGACTCATATCTTGATCCCCAAACACAAGGCAGTGAGTGAACCGGGAACTGCATGAGTTGTTGAAACCTCAAAACTGACACGCCTCCTCCATCGAGGCCACACCTCCAAATCCTTCCCATACAGGTCCACGGAATGGAAACCAAGTATTTATATATATGAGCCTATGGGGGAGGGGCACTGTCATTAGGTTCAATGTGCTACTTGCTGAGCCCTTTCACAGACCTACTTGGTGTCTTTTGAGTTACTTTTCCTTAAAGGCATGAAGTCAGTGTCTAGATGATGATGATGATGATGATGATGATTTTGCTGTGTCATCTCTAACTTGGTGGTGTGCCTTATGGTTAGTGGTTACAGGTGATAGTAATGATAAAGTTGATATATATATATATATATAAAACATGGCACCATCTGGAGCCAACAGAGGACCTCCTGCAGTAATGCTGAAGGTGATCTGGACACAACTCCTCTCAAATCAACATGGAAATGAATGGCCCCAAAGATAAGAGTTTGGAAAAGATGAACTCCGACTGTGAAGACATTTGGGGAAGATCCTTACTCATTTATTTTGCTCATAGTTCCCTTTTTTGTGCATAGAGGTAGCATGCAATTAAAAACAAAACAAAACTAAACTGAATATAAACATGCTCGAAGACTCTCTCTTGATAAACACAAAATAAGAAGGGAACGCCATGGGGTTCTGAGGAGACAGCGCACCAGTTAAGTGCTTGCTCAGCAAAGTGTGAGGACCAGAGTGCAGATCCACCAGCCCCCCTGTAAGTTCTGGGTAGACATGGCGGGCCACCTGTAATTCTGGTCTCACAAGGTAGAGATAAGGTGAACTGGCTAGCAAGGCTATCCATATTAGTGTGCTCTGGTTTGCTTGCAAGACCCTGCCTCAAAGAATAAGGTGGGAGAATGATTGAGAATGATTCCTGACACCAACTGGCCTCAGCTTTCAGTTTTACACACACATACGCACACACACATGCGTGCATGCACACACACACACACACACAGAGGAAACTACACACATGCAACCCCCTCAATACTCACACACCCTGAAAAGGGTTGAAAGCGACAGGAATCATCACATCACAGCTTATGGATCTGTTGTGGCAGTGACTTATTCTTCCTCGGGACACGGGACAGTGGGGCTTTCTAATACAGACATCCACCCACAGACTGGAGTATTTATGGCATTACAAAAGGACTGCCATAGCATTGGGTGTCAGGTGTTAGGATGCAGGCTGATGACAGCTCTCAGAACAAGAGCAGGAGTGGCCGTCAACCCTCGAGGTCCAGAAGAGCACAGACTTGTGGGGCTGCCATCCAAAAAGGAAAGAGAGCAGGGATGAGACCCCAGCTTAGCCTCCCCTCACCCTCCAGCTTTGCACCCAGGTCTCCCTGTGACAGCCCAGGAGAGCCAGAGCCAAGGTTTCCTTGAGTACCCATCCGGAGACCTTCCTTCTGGGACACAGAGCAATATGGGAAGCCAGATAGGGTTGGAGGACAAACGGAAACTACTTGAGCAGAGCCGGGATCCCTTTGCGTCCGGCTCATCCTCATGCAATGTGTGGAGGGTCTGAGTGAGGGTCATGGAGCACATGGACAGGACCTGGAGTCCTGCCGTTGTGTAAGAGGTCAGTGGTCCTGCCATCTGAGTGCTGATGCTGGGGTTCAGCCTGTCACTGCCCTCCTGCCCTCCTCTCACCCACAGGCACCTGATTTACAATAACGGGCTCTGCATGGGGAGAGATGAAACCTCAGTTACAGCCGGGACTGGGCTCCAGGATGCAGACATCACCGGTGATGGACAGCAAGAGCTCGGGTTGCAATAGTGTGTGCTGGATGAGCTGTGTATGTATCTCAACCTTGGTCCAGTGCCTCATGCCTGGTCAGCCAGTCTAGCTGTGTCCATCCTGATTCAGGGCTCTGGACCTGCCTACTGGAGCTGGGGGCTGAACTCTTCAGTTTACTGAGTCCACAGCAGATCTGGAGTCATCAGATTGGTCCATGTCTATGTTAGAGGGGGGTGTTCTGGATGTACAAGGGGAAACTGAGGCACTGGAAGGGAAGACTTGGGAGCGTGTGGGTTATGCCCACTGGGAAACCATGCTGTCACCATTGCTGTCCATGGTGGGCAGAGAAGACACAAAACTCCAGGGGTATGCGGTGTGCTGGAGTGTTAGCTACACTTGCCTCCACAGCTAGCTTTTGACATGTGTATGGAGGATCTGAGCTCAGGCCCTTGTGTGTATACAGCGGGCATTTGGCCCATCGAGCCATCTCCCCACACCCTCAGGAAGAAATTTTGCGGAAACCTAGAGCAGGATCAAATCCATCTCCCTGATGACCAGCTCAGTGCTTGCTCTCAGGGTTTGTTGAATGACTCAGTGAGCATGGAAAGGGCTACATAGACTGCAGAGGACCTGCTGCTTATTTTGTTAAGTGTCCAGTGTGGGGGACCTATCCTTTCCAAGGTGATGACCCTCGCCAGACCTCTCCAACTGCCAGGAGATCGGACAGATGAAGACTGTCCTGTCTGCCACCCTGGAGACAAATCCAGCTTTATCCTAGTGGGATTTAAAAAGACTGGATGCTTTGAACATGAACCATGCTGCTGTCAGGTGCATGGCGGGGTGGGGGGGTCAGCCCAGCCCAGACACTTAATGTTGACCTAGCACCTGAGTTTGCCACAAAGCTTGGGTCATGGCCATGGTCAAGAGGAAGTGGTTGGTGCTGGGAATGAGTCTCCTGGGGATGCTGGGAGGACTGGATCATCTCAGCTGGATGCTGGGAGGATGTGGACCATCTCAGCTGGATGCTGGGAGGACTGGACCATCTCAGCTGCTTCTCAGTTTTACCACACGGAGGGGGAAGCCAGGAGGAGCCTGGGGAACAGGAAGGTTGCACAGTTGAGCATCCTGGAGCTCTGGCACATGGCTTGCCATTCTCCCCGTCACCTTCAGGGAAAAAGGCCATCCAGGTGCTCTGCGTCCTGGAGGAGCCAGGAAGATTTTGGTAGAACAGTAGCTTTGTACAGTTCCGTCACACTCTAGACTAGAGGAGGGGTCTTACAGTGGGTAGTACGCACTCCTGGCTGAAAATGGCATAACATGAACTCTCAAACACTGTCCTGGGCGTATCCGGAAGTCAGAAGTAGTCCTTATTAGCTTTGTAATGGTGATGTCATTGTGGAAGGCCTATGGGTACCCTCTGTGGCCTGGAGGCATTCATGATCTGCCTGTGATGTCAATCACATGGTCCAGCCATCACCTCCACTCGTGGACTGTCACCCCCACCTGTACCTCACCCCTTCCAGTCACACCACAGGTCAATACCTAGGGTTCCCCGTGAGCCACATGCTCTACCCACACATCCCAATTCGCCTTCCAAGAGTGTGTTCCAGAGTTCTGTGCACTCAGCCCACGCCTGCAGAGCCTGCCCACCTGCCACTGTGACTCCGTGTCCCGAGGATCCCACACCCCAGACACATCAGGCATCTGGCATTATTCCTACCTCTGTGGTCATTCTCTCTGCTAGGGACTCCCAGTCTCCCCCGGGTGGCAGCAATGGTCACTTGTTCCTGGTTCCTGCCCTGGCAAGGATGGCCCCTGTGGATCTCTGTGGACAATCTCACCCATTTAGAGTGGTTTGGAAAGTCCTTGGACTTCCAGGCCCCTGACGAACTCCTGTGTTTGGCCCAGTGTGACACCTGTTCTGCCAGCTGTGCACAGATGTGCTTGTCTCAGCTCTGCAGCCTCTTCTCCCTCCACCTCCACCTGCTGCCCTTTCCTCGTCCTTGAGGAGGCACCGGTGCCCCATCCAGGAATTGCTCCTGGCACTCAGAGTGGTCTTAATACAGAGAAAAAACCCACAGCCCTCTCTGCTGCCCTAAGGAGTTCCGTGGGGACATCTGCTCGCAGCTCTTTCTGGGGTTGTCCCAACCCCAGCCCAGAACATCCTAGAAAGACTGTCGACTGGATGAAAAGGATGTTTATACGGGAATGGCCTGAAATCTGTTCTTCTATGGGTGAACCATGCTTGTGTACCGTCCTCCAGCCGTCAGCATCGGTAAAAAGTGCCTCATCACACACCCCACCACAGCCACTGCCCCAGTGGGTGCTGTGCCCCTCTTCCTAGGCAGGGGTGTACCTGACGGTAGACAATGGGGCCCCTGGGGTGGGTGTCACAGAGACATTGCTCTGGCCCTCCCAGGATAGGCAGCCGAGAGAAGCAGGATCCTGCCAGGCTGGGACCTAGGACTCCTGTGCTGTTCTCCACTTTGAGTGGGAAATGAGTGGGCATGAGACAAGCGCTCTCTCCATTTCCTCACATCTGGAAGAGATGTCTGGGCCACCTGGTGGATGTGCTGGGAACTACAGGCAGAAGGCCAAACCGTGAGACCCCTGGCACAGCAGTCTGTGGGCAAAGGTAAACCCACTTTATTTATGGTAGACGCAGATTCACAGAGAGGTTAACAATTTTAGGGGCCCGTTCCATGTGATCAATGTTTAGAAATCTAGAATTGTCCAATCAAGGCTGGTTTGGCTCCAAGCAACTTAGGGCTTTGCTGATCTTTGTTTCCACGCTTCTAGGTAGTAGAGGGACTGAGTCTCTGAGAACCCTCTCGGTTCTGAAAACCTTTCATTTCACAACAGGGACAAACAACTCCACACGGCTAAGATCACTCTTTTGCATGTCCGAGCTTTGTCACTTGGGGAAAGACCCCTGATACCGATCTTGTCTCCTGCTTCACAGGGCACAAACAGGTGGTGGAGGCGAGTTGATTCTGGCATCTTCCATGGGCCTAAATCATACTGGACCCAAATAAGAGGTGGTGGGCATGCTGCATACACCCCAGTCAGACCCCGTGTCTTGGCTCCTGTGGTAACACAGTTATGTTACCTGTAACCTGTAACCCGCTCAGTAGCTCAGCCCCAAAGATGTTCTCGGGGGTGAGGTCGGCACAGAGGCTCCTAAGAGTTGAAGGCAGGAAACCTCACTCAGGGGTGCCCCAGAAGAAGTCAATAAACTTTCCCACACTGAGCCACTCAGGCAAAGGCAAGACTCAGACTCCTCTCAAATGCCAGGAATGCCGGGCAGCTGCTACTCTGAGTTCTGTCTGGTTTTCCTCCTTATTTTCAGGGGAACTTGGCGACTACAGAGAGGGCTGGACGGGAAAGGACAGTTCACACTGCTCTGAGCTGTGACAGAGCGTTCCGGTGTGTTCCCATGCACCTTTCTTTCCCAGGCTGGAGTCCGGATACAATGGATCTGAAGCCCACTTCAAGGCGTAGGGGTGGGTGTGCTGTAGCCACAGCAAGGGCACGGCTCTTGAGGAGTGGGTGAGGGACCTGTTTTCCTTTTCCCTGCCCCAGACTCCATGTGCCATAGACAGTATCAAGACCCCAAGGCAAGGGCAGCAAGGCTAAGTCCTGTAGTGCTATTTCCCTGACCTGCAGGCTAAGAATGCTTTTTAAGGGGTGGTGAAGGAGAGTCGTGCATTGGTGGTGCACGCCTTTAATCCCAGCACTTGGGAGGCAGAGGCAGGCGGATCTCTGTGAGTTCCAGGACAGCCTGGTCTACAATCTACACTGAGAAACCCTGTGTTGGAAAACAACAACAAACAAAAGCAAAAAAACAAGCAAACAAAAATAAAGGGTGGTGAAGGAAAGGGAGGAGGAGAAAGTCGTCTCAAAACCCTAAATGTTTAGCATGTCGCCTCCACAGAGAGTGTGCAGGCCCTGGGCCCAGAGCAGTGGACCCACATAGGGTTGTCAGATAGCCCTCCTTGGACAGCTAGCTTCCTGGGAAGGTGGCAAGAACACTCACATGGCACTTCCCTTGGCTGTAAAATTCAGGGTTAGGGTTTGAGCCAGAGAGACATAATTTTGAAGACTAGGCATCGCAGCAGCTTAGCCTGGCTGAACTAACAGGGAGGTTTACCCTTGGGATCCTGGGAAAGAAACTCATCTTTATCCCCTAAACCTAAATATTAGGAATAGAACTGGTGGCTCATGGTGTTCTGTAGAGAGAACCTTTTTCTTGCTGGCTGCTTTTTTTTCTCACCAGTAGCCTGGGCTCTGCCGCGTTGTAGTCCCCAAATAATACACAGGAGGCTATATTAATTATGAAGCTGTTGGCCTTGCTTGTTTCTTACTGGCTAGCTCTGACTTAAGTATTTATCCCATAATTGTTAATCTAAATATTTCTCTTACCGGAGAAGTTTCCAGGCTCCTTATCCCTATGGCGGTTACATCTTGACTCCCTGTGTTTCTCCTACCCAGAGTCCTCCTGGACTCCTAGTCCCACCTATCTTGCTTCCCTATTGGCCAACAATGTTTTATTGACATATACACAGGACTTCCCCCATCAGTGTTCCCTGTGAACCCTGGGACTTTAGCCTGCAGAGGGCTGGCATGTGGGAGTCAGGCAGTAGGCTGGTCCTGGAGACACTGAATTCCGGAGCCAGCCACTCCTGCAACCAATGCTATACTGGACATCTCGGTTTTTAAGAACCAATATGATCCTTCCTTTCTTCACCACAGCCTGGACTGTTTCTTTTACATGACATTAAGAAGATTCCTAAAATGTTTGTTCTTGGGATCAAAATAACTTTAAATCTTTTGTTAATCATTCAGGGGGAAAAGATGACTCATCACAGACTTTGATGTTAAAGTGCTGTCCTCAGTGTTATGATACAAGTCCGAACAAACAGACTTGTGGGCATTTAAAGTGACCTGAGTCGGACACTCTAAGAGCCTGTCTCTTCGAGTAAAGACCATCGATGGGCTGGTTGATTGTGGGAACAAACTCAGAAGCCGTCACACAGCTGTTCTCAGAGGTGTGTGTCCCACGTGTGTGCAAACATGTACCAGCTGGAAGTGGTCAGAGACATCCCAGCCTTCAGGGCCTTTCCCAGTCTTCCTAGAAGAAGCCTCAGAGCTGGCATCAGGGACTGACTGTGAGGAAGAACCAGGAGGCAGGAGCAGAAGTGAGTGGACCTAGAGAAAATAACTCTTCATGTGTGAGGGGGGAGAGAGACAGAAAGACAGAGAGACAGAGACAGACAGAGACTGACTCATGGCCAGAGAGACTGTTGGAGGGTCCAGTCTTCAAGTTCTATGTGGGGCTCATACTTTAGGCCAGGGGCGCTGTGAATGGCCAGCCCAGAAGTGACTCTGACCCCTGGGTTCCATGCGTCTTTGCCAACCCCCAGGTCCTTCTTGCTGTGAAGAGATCAAATCCAAGCCAACCAAAAGGAGCAAATTGTCCTTAATTAAGCAGATAAAAGTGGCCCATGTCACCCACAACACATGATAGGCATGGCTTGCAGCCCCGTGTGCCTCCAGCTCATGTGTGACCTCAGTTGGGCAACCCTGGCTGGAAGCAGATGGCCGTCTTGGGCCTCCCCGGCACTCCTGGGCTCCGAACACACATCTTCCCTGGAGGCTGTGATAAGGAGATGGCTGTGAGTCTGATGGGGGAGGCAGGTACCCAAGTGGTCTGCCCCTTGCATCTTTTGAGGACAGTCCCTGAGCCACTGTGTGTCCTTTTCAGTCCGCACCTAGGAGAGTCTCCTAGCTTGGGGCCTGTCTATCCAGACAGGTGGGAAAATTCTGGGTTTCATGCACGCCATATTGAGGCTACAGGAAAAAGGCCCAATGATAGGGCCAGGCAGCTCAGAAGCATCGGGGCTTGCAAGAGGGAAGGCAGGACCCAGCCCCTCCACCAACCTCAGGACCCTCCCCACCGCTAGTGCCTGTGTCACCCAGGAGCCTCCTCCGAGTTCTAACAGATCCCATTCCACCCAGACCTGTGCTCAGCCCTGCTCCTCAGAGCCCACCCTCCAACCCCCTTACTGGCTCACCCTCCGTTCTCTTTCCAGGGTGCCCAGACTCAATATGTAATCTTCCCAGGTGACCGAGCACCCCTGCCTGCCTTTGATGATAGAATTCTACCCAGGTTGCTCTAATATTAAGGTCAGTTGAAACAAACCATCCTACCCTGCTCTCTCAAGAGGGGCCACCCTGGAAGAATCAACACCCTCCTGTTGCACCTGCTGTGCAGCCTGCATCCGAGAATGTAGCGAGGTGGTCGGGATAGATGACACAGAGACCGGTCGGTTGCT